TTAATTCACTCTTCATGTTCTTTGTCAATCTTATGTGGTTGTGAGGCTTCCTACCACATGTTGCATTAATAATTCGTCGGAGGAAACATCTGTCTGATGGAACTACGTTGCACAGGAAATTAAGTAAACCAAGTAACGACTGCATCTCCTTTAATCTAACCTTTAAACGTGTCAAAATATGATCTATAGCATCTAACGAATGAGATAGCTTATCTCCGGCACACGCACACACATGTTGATTCATCAATAAAATCCTTTATGCTCTGACCTTCTGGAAAGACAGGTGATGTTTTAATCTATAATCTCCTGGAGCGCTCTTAGGGACCAATCAAGCGTGAAACCTTAAAATATGGTATAGGAGCTTAGTCTATTATACCCAAGTCCAACTCTTTTTTGGATTTTTAAATGTGACATAAGATGATTATTTTTAACAAATTTGAGATTTCTTGCCATTTCTTGTCAGAACCTACCACTGTATCATCATATCCTAGCTTGAAGCCATATTTGAAACCATTAACGAGAAACTGAGCCTGATCCGGAAAATGCTAGGCCATTCGTTCCATCAACTGTGTCTTGACTGGTGTTCGACCGAGCTTGTATAACTCTGGAAGGAGTGCTGGCTGATGCACATCTGCAGGCTGGATGGACATCGCTTCCACATGCGGAACAGCTGTGTCGCCACTTGCACTTTTGTCTCAAACACTTGCTATGATTGAAGTTGTTACACGTATTGATTGCCGGTCGACTCGTAATTTGCCCTGAAATGTGCTGATGTGTCGTTTTTGTATACCAGAAAAACCCAGAACTGAACTGTTGATGGTAAGGTGTCTGTACAAACAACATCCACAATTCCACATTCAAGTTTCCCTTGGCGAAGACAATATTGTTCATCATAGGTTCTCCATCCCAAACCAGTATGACGAAACGCTGCTAAACGGACAGTATTCATGTGTTTGAGTGAACCTTGTACCATGTCCATCCTGCGCTGGACATAAATACTCATGTAAGTTGTGTAAGCTGTTGTTCAATCAAAAATGTTCTGATTCTTTTGCCTTGAGACTTGGGCCTAAAACTCCAGCTGTCCATCTGTACTGATGAATACTGCCGAAGTTGTATATAATCCATCATATCCCTGTCTGGTTTAAGCAAAAGTGCGAAAATTGATGTACTCACCATTCCATAGTTTTTGTTGTTGTTTTTTAATGCTGACAGGAACATTACAATCCAGGTGATCATACACACTTTCTGTTGTTGTAGGTGGTGGCATATTTAACATGTCAACATTTTGAAACATGGGAATGACTTGTGGATTATGAGGGGCAATTGGGTTACTAACCATGCTAGGAGCATTGTTATGATACTGGGATTTAGGGACATGATTTTCAAATTCCGGGAGGATACATTTGTGAGTTAACTAAAGGGTTATATGTATTAGGCCTATTGGGATAAAAACCAATTTGCACCAACTCACCTCCTGAAGGAGTAGTGGTAACAGGCGTTATCGTCGATAGACTCTGGGACAACAGGGACCTCTGCTTCGGCTACGCTGCTGCCGCCACGCTGCTGCCGCCATTTTCCCTGTCTCCATGAAACGCACTCTCATAGCTGCAGTTGTTACTGAAAACCTTGATTCCATCCCCAAAACAAAATTGTCCATTGTATGAAATACTTTTCCATGAGTATAGGTAAAGCTATAACGTTCACCACAATGATAACTAACGGCACAAAAACGAGAATTAGAAATGTTTCTTCTAACGTAAGTGTTTCCGCCATTTAAAAAACGTGTTACTGGTGTGGTTGTGTGGATGAAAAGAGGATGTAGCAACTAAATTCAGCTGCAACATGGGTTGCTTCCCTTTGTTCAGAGCATGTGAAGAACAATTCCTGAATAATACACTGATACAGTGCCTTGCAATATTAAACCAGGAAGAGTAGCTTCCCTTGCTCTATTAAACCAGGACGAGTAGCTTCCCTTTGACCGTGGAACACAAATGCATGGGGAGAACGCCCCTTGAATTGGAATAATGTAAGATTACCAAAATAATGCATTTTATTCATTAATAATAACATTAATTATTTTGTTCCCCTACTGAACACGCATGAAGCATGTGAAACGCATCCTTCCACAGTAATTGTACACAGATGCCTCCAATAGTTATTTTCGAAAAAAGAAGAAGAATGTAAACAATAAAATGTTTCCCGCAAAAATCAATCAAACTGTAACTAATAATTTATAGCGGCCTTGACATCCACATGCCAGGCATGCTAATACTGGAAATTTACCCCAATTCACAGCTTTAAGCATGTGAGCGAGTGAGTGAGTTGGATATAACACCGCTTTTAACAGTATCCAAGTTATATCATGGCGTGTCAGCTTAATGTGGGAGGAAAGCCCGAAGTGATGCAGGTCTTAGACGTTTACCACTTCGGTGAAACCCACGAGCACGGGTATGGTGCTGACAAACCTCGAAACATAATTGGGGTGAACTGGGATTCGAACCCACAATCATAGGTTTCTGGCGTGCCGAAGTGACACAACTCTGCACCAAGAATCGCGGCGCCTTAGACAACGGGGCCACCTGTGCCCCCACTTGAAGCATATGCATGACTCTGAGAAAGAAAGTGAGTTTGGCATTGTGTGTTTGAGAAACGTGGCAACGGTCGTTTTGGGCGTGAATGTGCATGTCAGTTGAAGCATTTTGCAGTGACCAAATCTCTTGAAATCTTTTGGAAACATTGAAAGTGTTGGCTATCCAGCTATGTTAAAAGAACCACCATGGTGTCGCGCATGCGCGTACGGTAGCAGGCTAACAGGAGCCTCTGAGGTCAATTTGGACACTTTCAAACGGTTGTATTTCCCTAACGACCCCTTATAGGTGTATTGGCTTTTGTATTAAAAGTCTTAGAATTTTGAAAGCTTTCCAACGAGTCATCATTCACTAAACTCGCCTGATATTTGAATCCTGTTTCTTATACACTGGCGTAACTACATATATTGCCTACTGGTACACAAATTGATTTTACTTGCCTTTCCCCGTTATTCATTGGTCCGTCCGATAGAGTAACCGCCCTTTATCAAAGGGAAGCTACTCTAACCCTAGTCTGTGAGACGTCACGGTCACAGTCAGACGTTGTTGACAGTCGGCCTGTCCTGTCATAACGTTACGAAGTGCAGTCTGTTGTACATACGCGACAAAACGAAACAAGGTAACAATTCGACCATATTTCGGCCAAATCCAACTGTTTTAATTTGTGGAAAGGTTCCAAGACGCAGACGTCTACAAGCGCAGATATGGAAACTGATTCCGCTTGGCTAGTTCCCTCGCAAAATCTCCAAAATAGCTAAAACTTGTAAAATACCTTAACCACGTCACAGTTAGACACTTATTTTCAGTATATTAGACTATTGTTTTGATAATGATAGCAATTATCCAAGTAATTTCTCCAGATTCCCGATGGTATATTCTGACTCGATCACCGAATGACAAGGACGACGCCATGTTTGTTAATAAACACTGAAAGTAGTCCCTACATGACCTTTGATATTTGCATCTCTCTTGTGTCCATATATCTATTAAATATATAATACTGTATGTGCAACAATTTATAATCCTTGTCCTATAGAGATTACCATACGAGTGTCTGTCAGATACCATTTGTCTTACAGTGAGTTATTTCAAAACGTATCTAACGCGCGAAAGCGGGTTAGATATGCTTTGAAACAACGGGTTGTCAGATAAATGGTATCTGACAGCCACGAGTGCAGTAATCTGTTTCTTACACACCCTAAAATCGCACCTTTTGAGCGTCAAATCGATGTATTTTTGTCTAATTCTTATGATCGCAGTAGTACATTAATACATAACACCACGGTCATGAGTGACGTCATCCGATGTACTGCTTACTACTCATAAATAAGGTGACCCTACAAAATAAGGTTTCCTCTATATCTGTGGATTATCAAGGTGATGATGAAAATGCAAACTAGATAAGATCAAAGAACATGCTGGATGCAATATCATGCAATATACTTTTTTATTGTCGTTTTGCTCTAACTGAAAGGGACCTGACAAGTGTTGTGACTGCAATGTTAAGCGACTAAAATTCGATACAACATCGCAGTTTTATCTTACCTTTTATGCAGAAATAAAACTTTAAATAAAATTGGAGTAAAATGGTTTGAAGTGGGGTCGGGGTAGGAAGACTGAAATGGGGTGGTGTGGAATGGTGTGGTGTGAGGTGGGGTGAGGTGTAGTGAAATGGGGTAATGTGAGATGGGTTTGGGTGGGGTATGGTTCGATGGAGTGGGTCGGGGTGAAGTTGAGTGAAGTAGGGTGTGTGTGGGGGGGATGGGATGGGGTGGGGTCGGGCGAAGTGGAATGAAATGGGATTGTGTTGGATGGGGTGGGTTGGGTGGGTTAGGGTGAAATGGTGTACATAGTGTGTTGTGATGTGGGGTGGAGTGAAATGGGGTTGTGTGGGATGAGGCGGTGTGGGATGGGGTGGATTGAAATTGAGTGGTGTGGGATGGTGTTGGGTGAGGTGAAGTGGAGCGGATGGGGTTGGGTGTGCATCCCCTGCACCTCTCTGAATTCGCCAGTGGATAAAGTGACCTGCTAAATAGTCCTCACACATATGTCACGGAATACGACTCAGAATAAAGTGCATGTATTACTCAGTAAAGAACTATTTCTGAGGTACACCTACCTGACTTATCGCAACCCCTCTACAAGGAAGTTCGACAGTTTTGTCAACAACGCTATCTACCGTACTCTTTCAGCTAATCTTTCCTCTTATCCGTTAGTCAGGAAAAGATTGACAATGAATAGCGACCTCATGTATCATTGCGGGACATGAGGGTAGGTTGGTGTGACTTTGTTTGCTTACATGTTTACAACACCAGTCGTATAGGACAACGAACACAATCTGCACCAACAATGCAATCTGTTGTTTCTAGGCATTGTGGGTTGAATCATTTCAGGTAACTACGGTAATCTGTGAACCAATCGGTACACACTGATACATACCCGAGGCAGGTGCAGTTACATAACTTGTGTTGCCAGTCAGTACAACCCATATACAACACAGATACAACACACGTACAACACAGGTAAAGCAGGAGTACACTGACTGACGGACAGGTAAAGGAACGTCGCATCATGTCGGGACGCTGGAGGCTCCTGCTGTTGGTCGCATGTCTTGGTGAGTAACTGCAATGTCTTTGCCTACATCTACGACTTAGATAGAGAGATTGTGTAGGGCGTTGATGTATGTAGGAGGGAGAGGGACATGGAGTTGGGATGGGGGACTGTAGGTGATCTGTGGACGTCAGGTAGGTGTTTCTGTGAAGGGCGGGGACTTGAGATTAGGTATGGCTGGGTTCGGTACTAGTGACGGGTGGGTAGGATTTGTTTGTTTGTTTGTTGTATAACGACGCACTCAGCAATATTCCAGCTTTGTGACAGCGGTCTGTAAATGATCGAGTCTGAACCAGACAATCCAGTGATTAACATCATGAGCACCGATCCACGCAATTGGAATTCAATGACATGCATCAGCCAGGTCAGCGAGCCTGACCACCTGATCCCATTAGTTGGCTCTTTCGACAATCATAGTCGCCATTTATGGCAAGCATGGGTTGTTGAAGTCTTATTCTACCCCGAATCTTTATGGGTAGGGTGAGTAGGAAGGCAAATATCTTTTGTGAAACAATGTTCCTTTTCAAAACTCTAAGGAATATCTGGTGAGTGGTGAGTGAATGTGTGAGTGAGTGATTCGTCCGGTAGATTGGTGGTTTGGTGAGTGAGTGAGAGTGTTGTGTTGGTTGGTTTGTGGATGGGTGAGTGAGTGAGTGAGTGAGTGAGTGAGTGAGTGAGTGAGTGAGTGAGTGCGATACCATCGCATTATAAGCGTGAATGATAGTATTTTTTCTCATAATTATGGGATATATTATGAATTATAATAAGGCATTTTCAAAATTATTTCCAAGTATAGGTATGCTGTTAGACTAACATGTAGTCTCAAAAGTAAAGTTATCTTATTTAAAAATATATATCTACAAAATATGAATTTTTAATGGAGCCCAGAACAATTGTTAATTCCTAGGGCTGAGGCATTCTAGGCTTGCCGAATCATTCAAGGCTTGAATTTGATTCATTTCTTAATTTATACTCTTAGGTCTAACATGTAGTCCTAAACATAAAGTTATCATATTTAAAAATATATACTGTAAAACGTGAAATTAATGCTTCTCCAAAAGAATGCGACCGTGGGCCCCTAGCCAAAAATGCGACTCAATATGAATGCGACACCCCCTCCTCTCAAGCATCAGTGGATTTATATCTAAACAAAATGTCCTCTGTCAGATTTACAGGAGATCCCCACCTTAATCCAAGAGTAGAGTACTTCAGCTAAAACAATATGTGTGCGCTGACTCGTGTCGGCCTTTGATGCAGTCGCAAAGAGCAAAGACACTGTGTTGGGTGGCGTCTGTCTGGACTTGCAGGTGTGATCAGTGAAGACATGAGTGAGTAGAACGCTTGTCTTGACCCCAGCAGTGACAATTCACAGGATGTAATTAGTGTTTGAATGACATTGTTTATATACTTGTAACAAGTGCTGCTCAATAAACAGTGATGTGGAATACATAGTTGTTTGTTTTCAACGTATGTCTAAGTTGGTATTTCTGCTATCCAAAATGTCTTATGTTGATATAAATGCGATGTTTAATAATGCGAGCAAAGAGCACTCGCATTTTTCGCATTTAATTCACGCTCGCGTTAATATCAAGATTTACAGTATCTACAACATATGAATTATAGTTCTACCATGACATTGATGAATGCTTGATTCTTATCGGTTAAAAAGAGGTTTCCTTTTTGCTACGGAACCTCTTTTCAAAAATGTTAAGCCTTTTCACACAAAAAACGTGCATATGAATACATGCATAGCCTACACATTGATTTATAAAAAGAAATGCCCCCCATATGAACTGTAAAACGTATCTATATTTCTTCTATTTCAAGCTGGGTCTCAAATAGAAGCCAGGTCTCTAATACACGCCAACTCAAGGGCTCTCGCAAAATTAATAGACGGCCAAGGAAATACAATAGTTTGATATCGGATGTTTTGGGCGTTCTAGGCCGCAACCCTGACTGCTACGTTGATTCCATTACAAGATTTAACGAAGGCATAACTTTTCCATACACATGAAATGTAAGGGACATTATATTGCGACCAGAATCAGAACAGGCTATTTCCTCATTGAAACAACCGACAATGACAGTAAAAAAAAAACATTATAAAACATGTTTAAGGAAACTTTATTCATGGCAACATGTTGTTTACATATCTTTTTGTGATATTCATTGCCATCTGCGTCTACCACCACCGTAAGGATTTGGCCGGAGAGGATTTAAAAGTCCCTCAGAAAACACTCCTGGTTTCTCTCGCTCCTACGATGGGCGAAAACAATGTCCCGACATCACTGAAGTCAAAACACACTTGATCATCGCAACTTGATGAGATTCATTTCAGAACATGCACAATTAGGAAAATCATACACGAACCACTGTTTCTGGGCCACAATAGTCACAATAATTATTCTTTCACACGCTTGCTTGAATCCGGGAAAACTTCAAATTGACAGGTCAAATCATGCAGATTCCTCGTGTCAAAATAGCTGGCTTGTCTGCAGCTGTAAATGCGTCTTGTCTGCAGCCTAAAAAGCGGCTGTTCGGTCATACTCCAATTCCATTGGTAATCACATTGTGAATCGTGAATCTACAGATTAATGTTGAACCACATCATAGACTGGTGCTGTCACCTTACTTCGTAACCTGTCTGCTGAGGCACGGAAAATGTAAACATTGGCAGCCATATTGACAACTTTGAAGTGTGAGTAACTGTTTTGTAGGTCAAGTTCTTCCACATCCATGTTCGGGGTTGAGATGCGTTTATATTGATTTTTTTATTATTAATTTGGGGTAATTGCTAACTAACTAATAAGACTTACACATGCAAAATAAATAGTAGAATGTCAATTCATAAAGTTTGTTGTAGAAATATATTCGTTTAGCATTTTAAAAACTATTTCTAGAACATGCCACCCCTACAATGGAAATGGCATGTTCGATTTCCAAGAAATGACCTCTCCCGCTGATTTCCAAGAATTGACTTGAGTTCAGTCCAAACTGTGAAAAGCAGGTTGGTAGAAATTAAAACAGCTGTCTTTGGACTAAGTTAGGAGGGGTATTTGACACCTTCTTTTTGAAAACCTATGTGTTTTGAACACTTACTTTGAACTACTCAAGACTATGGTGCTTTTACTCTTGAACTTTAATAATATTTGTTTCATATATAACTACCTGTGACCACTTATGGGAATGTTTTGGGTTTGTGTATCTTTGAACCCTGTGTTGTTACGCGTTGCAAGAGAGCTCCGTTTTCAACGTCATGGTAGGACGCTAAAACGCTCGGTTCCAAATTAAAATAAGAGGTATCTACTCTACACTGGGACTACATCACATTTCAAAACACAGCAGGTCTATCTCCTAAATGGAGCCCAGAACAATGTTTAATTCCTGGAGCTGAGGCATCCTGGACTTGCCGGATCATTTAAGGCTTGAGTTGGATTCATTTCGTAATTCATTCTCTTGGGTCTGGGAGACACTAATATACAGTAGGGAAATAGTGAGTGAAATATGAATGTAGAGGTGTCGATGACAGTCGTGTGTGAGTGCTTTTTGTTTAGAACAGCATCCGATCTGTCCGAAAATAGCTTACTACTGTTATGGCAATGTAATTTTTTTGTTAAACAGTGCTGTAACTGCATTACAGTGTTTCTGCGGAGTTTTTTCACAGCATCGTGCTTTGACAATAACCAGTTGTAAAAAATGTAGTACTTTTTGATGTTAACAGGGAGGTGGTCGTTACTATATTTAAATGTTAGTGTATGCAAGTGTTTTGTTTGTTTGTTGTTTGACACCACACTCGGCAATTTTCCAGTTATATGACAGCAGTCTGTAAATAGTCGAGTCTGGACCAGACAATCTAATGATTGACATTTTCAAAACACTTATCCTGATGCCTCTCTGTTTTATGCCGCGGAAGCAGGTTTTAAATATATTAAACAACTTCCGACGTGCTTTATCCTACAGATAGAATGTAATTGTTCACCTTTATTCTGAATAAATCTAATTTTGTTGACAAAGTGATTCTCTCTTTTCCCTGTATTTCTTCAGCCTGACTTTCAACAAGAGTAAGAATTAGGAGAACCCACAAAGTCAGTCAAGATGTGGTTGGGGACTCTTTATTGAACGTGGAAACAACGCCACCATTTCCACTCCTGCACATGGAGAGCTATTATAAGTTTTCTTTTTGTGTTATTAGTCGCTACAGAATAACACTTAATCCATGGAGGAGGCCAAGTCGTCTAAGGCTCTGCAATTCTCTGTGTAGAGTTGCACATTGATACCAATAGTAGTGGGTTCGAATCCCAACGTTCGCTGCAGTTATGACCCTTTGTTTGCCAGCACATTCCCTGCTCGGGGTTTTCACCAAAGTAGTAAATATAAGACCTGCATTACTTGCACACCTGCACAAACTCCAAACCAGGGATGCTGGTTACTTTACTGAGTTGTCTCCCTTTGTCCACAGTATCCCTTCCCACCATCTCCTCCACGACATGGCATGATGTCATGTTGGACAGCTGCGGCTCTGACGTCGACCTCCTCTTCCGCGAAGCAGATGACTACACTGGGGTTGAGACGAAATGCAGGTGCGTGTTGGTACATGATGGTGTGTGTTTATCTGAATACAGCGGTTGCATTACAATTGTAACCTTAATACTACTAGTAGTAATATTTGTAAACATTTCGCTTCTGACAAGGCTACTACAGTGGATCAAACGAGATCAAAACGCGAAGTCGTGTTGGTCAAAACTGTTCTCTAAATTATGCAGGTGCAAAATCAGTACAGTCTGAAAACGTTTAAAATATTTAATCTGATAATCGTACAGTCAAGCTTCAATGCGTAATGAGTTTATCGGGTGGTCAGGCTCACTGACTTGATTAATGCATGTCAACGTATCCCAATTGAGTGGATCGATGCTCATGATATCAATCACTGGATTGTCTGGTCCAGACTCGATTATTTACAGACCGCAGTCATATAGCTTGAATATTGCTGAGTGCGTCGTTAAACAACAAACAAACAAACAAACAAACACTCACAACCCTGTCACAATGCTGTTTGGCCGTGGGGTGGAATATATCAGTAACTAGATAGGATCGAGTAGTCTTACTTACTCTATTGCATCAGTTAGTCATGTTCCTTGATTTAGCTGGTAACGTTTCTTCGTACTCTGATGGCGTGGGATGGTGCTCATAAGATCGGGACCGGCTCTGTGGTCTAATGGTTAGAGCATCTGCCCAGGGAGCGGAAGGCGTTGGTTCGATTCCGTGCCATGTTCCAAACGACGTTAAAAGATCGTAGTGTTGTTATCCTACCTGCGCTCATCATTAAAGGGATAAAACAAGGACTGATCGGTTTGGAGTCAAGTCAAGACATTAGTCTCGCAGTCACACACACATGCAGGCAGGCACATGAACACACACGCGCGCACGCACACGGACATTAGTGATATAAACTTGAACGCGACGATTAACCCCATTTCACCTCACTTCATAATATCTGTCAGTGGCTTCTGTCACCAAACAAACAGACAGGTCCCTCTCGTTGATAACAGCACTCTATACATTTTTTGTATTCACTCAGAACGTTGCGGACAGTGTTCCTGTGTGTTCAGAAGAAGTCGTTTGAGAACCGTGAGACGACGTTTGGGTGGACGTTCATGACGAACACGGGGCAAATGGACGAAATGAAGAAGATGATCAACGACACTTGTACGTCAATCACGGTCTCTACTTCTTGGTTTTCTAAGGATCCGCAAGCCGTGGGTTCGAATCCCAGCTCATTCCAATTATGATCCTTGGTTTGTCAGCAACATCCCCGTGCTTGTGGGTTTCTCCAAGGTGGTATACGACATGTGTCACACCGGGTTTCCTCCCACATTAAGCTGACACACTGTGACAGGATTTAAATGCAGTAAACTACGGTTATAACGAACACAAAAGGGACCACTAATTTAACTTCATAATAACAGTTCGTTATAAACATATATACAGCACCTATACAACAAATGACCGTGACTAAAATTAAGTTCGTTATATCTGTCGGTTCGTTATAAGCGGGTCCGTTAAAAACGTAGTTTACTTTACTACTTAATCCAACTCACTCACTCACTCACTCAGCTCCCTTGGAATTCGGCCATGGTGATGAAAGTCAAGTCTGTGATAAGTGTTAACTTTTTAATTGCGTATGTCAAATTGCACAGGTATGTAAATAGTGCATATGAACGCAGTATGTTATTCATGGGTAAATGTGCTGGAGGAAACTATTAATATTATATGTCCAGGGTTTTGTGAATATTTTATGTTTCAGTTTCTTTTGTCAGATGTTTTGCGAAAACTAGATATTTAAGGAAAATAAAATAAATGTTTACCCCCTCACCCCGACCCCCACACCCCCAATCTCTCACCCCTATATAGCTAACACGCAAAGGCGGGGTAAAAGATTGGCCGTTATTGGCTCGGGGTACCCGTCAATACAACACCTGTTCTGTTAGGTCTAACAATGAAATGGGTACAATGTGTGAAGCCCATTTCTGGTGTCCCCCGCCGTGATATTGCTGGAATATTGCTAAAAGCGGCGTAAAACCATACTCACTCACTCACTCTAATGATGAAACTGTAGGTGTATTGGCCGATACGACTCGAGTATAATTGGTATTGCTCTCACATATTCCTCAGCTATCTCCCACCCCAGGTTTCGCCGAGTCCCTCGTGCTGTGTGTGGTGTACACGATGCAGGCTGACTTCAGGACGTGCTACGTACGGGCGGGTCTCCAACCCAGGGAACACTTCACGGAGGAGTACCTTTCTCAACACTGTGAGTAAGTACACGGGTGTCTCGAAACTGTCCTTCAAGTACATAGGTGTCCCGACATGCCCCATTTAAGTACACAGGTGTCCCGACATTGCCTTCAAGTACATAGGTGTCCCGACATCGCCGTGAGCACACAGGTGTCCCGACATCGCCGTGAGTACACAGGTGTCCCGACATTGCCCGTAAGGACACGTGTGTCTTGACACTATCCCAAAGTGGACAGGTGACAGTCACAGCGTAACTGTGATATTTTGAACACTTACTCATATTATATTTATACACTTATACCGAGGTTCAACCTCAGGGAAAATTAATTCACGTATTGATGAATGACGAACGAATAAAATATGGGAATGAATTAGCAGCTGATAACAAGTGAATGTTCCGAGGTTTGTTTCAGTCAGATGGACAGCGTTCTCACCTGTATGAGGCAGCGACTACTGAGGTGCCCAGATGATGACTACGTACAGCCCCAGGTCGCGGGGGTAAGGGTGTGGCGACTCCAGCTTTGGGAACACTGTGAGTTGTGGAGGTCAGGGTGTGGCGACTCCAGCTTGGGGAACGCTATGTGTTGTGGGGGTCAGGGTGTGACGACTATAATCTTTGGGAACACTGTGAGTTGTGGGGGTCAGGGTGTGGCGACTATAATCTTTTGGAACACTGTGAGTTGTGGGGGTCAGGGTATCGCGACTATAATCTTGGGGAACGCTGTGAGATGTGGAGGTCAGGGTGTGGCGACTATAACTTGGGGGATACTGTGAGTTGTGGGGGTCTGGCGACTATAACTTGGGGGATACTGTGAGTTGTGGGGGTCTGGGTATGGCGACTAAAACTGGGGGAATGCTGTGTGTTGTGGGGGTCTGGGTGTGGCGACTATAACTTGGGGAACACAGTGAGTTGTGGGTGTCAGGGTGTGGCGACTCCAGCTTGGGGAACACTGTGAATTGTGAGGGTCAGGGTATTGCGACTATAACCTGGGGGAACACTGTGAGTTGATGGGGTCTGGGTGTGGCGACTATAATCTTTGGGAACACTGTGACTTGTGGGGGTCAGGGTATGGCGACTATAATTTAAGGAACACTGTGACTTGTGGAGGTCAGGGTGTGGCGACTATAATTTGGGGAACACTGTGACTTGTGGGGGTCTGGGTGTGGCGACTATAACTTGGGGAACACTATGACTTGTGGGGGTCAGGGTATGGCGATTTCAGCTTGGGGAACAGTGTCTTGTGGGGGTCTGGGTGTGGCGACTATAATTTTTGGGAACACTGTGACTTTTGGGGATCAGGGTGTGGCGACTGTAACTTGGGGAACACTGTGAGTTGTGGGTGTCAGGGTATGGCGACTATAACTTGGGGAACACTGTGAGTTGTGGGTGTCAGGGTATGGCGACTATAACTTGGGAAACACTGTGAGTTGTGGGTGTCAGGGTGTGGCGACTATAATTTAAGGAACACTGTGACTTGTGGAGGTCAGGGTGTGGCGACTATAATTTGGGGAACACTGTGACTTGTGGGGGTCTGGGTGTGGCGACTATAACTTGGGGAACACTGTGACTTTTGGGGGTCAGGGTGTGGCGACTCTAAGTTTGGGAACACTATGACTTGTGGGGGTCAGGGTATGGCGATTTCAGCTTGGGGAACAGTGTCTTGTGGGGGTCTGGGTGTGGCGACTATAATCTTTGGGAACACTGTGAGTTGTGGGTGTCAGGGTATGGCGACTATAACTTGGGGAACACTGTGAGTTGTGGGTGTCAGGGTATGGCGACTATAACTTGGGGAACACTGTGAGTTGTGGGTGTCAGGGTATGGCGACTATAACTTGGGGAACACTGTGAGTTGTGGGTGTCAAAGTGTGGCGACTATAACTTGGGGAACACTGTGAGTTGTGGGTGTCAGGGTGTGGCGACTATAATTTAAGGAACACTGTGACTTGTGGAGGTCAGGGTGTGGCGACTATAATTTGGGGAACACTGTGACTTGTGGGGGTCTGGGTGTGGCGACTATAACTTGGGGAACACTGTGACTTTTGTTGGTCAGGGTGTGGTGACTGTAAGTTGGGGAACACTATGACTTGTTGGGGTCAGGGTATGGCGATTTCAGCTTGGGGAACAGTGTCTTGTGGGGGTCTGGGTGTGGCGACTATAATCTTTGGGAACACTGAGACTTTTGGGGGTCAGGGTGTGGCGACTGTAACTTGGGGAACACTGTGAGTTGTGGGTGTCAGGGTATGGCGACTATAACTTGGGGAACACTGTGAGTTGTGGGTGTCAGGGTATGGCGACTATAACTTGGGGAACACTGTGAGTTGTGGGTGTCAGGGTGTGGCGACTATTACTTGGGGAACACTGTGAGTTGTAGAGGTCATGGTGTGGCGACTGTAACTTGGGGAACACTGTGAGTTGTGGGTGTCAGGGTATGGCGACTTTAACTTGGGGAACACTGTGAGTTGTGGGTGTCAGGGTGTGGCGACTATAACTTGGGAAACTCTGTGAGTTGTGGGTGTCAGGGTATGGCGACTATAACTTGGGGAACACTGTGAGTTGGTGGTGCCAGGGTGTGGCGACTATAACTTGGGGAACACTGTGAGTTGTAGAGGTCATGGTGTGGCGACTATAACTTGGGGAACACTGTGAGTTGTGGGTGTCAGGGTATGGCGACTATAACTTGGGGAACACTGTGAGTTGTAGAGGTCATGGTGTGGCGACTATAACTTGGGGAACACTGTGAGTTGTGGGTGTCAGGGTATGGCGACTATAACTTTGGGAGCACTGTCAGTTGTCGGGGTCAGGGTATGGCGACTATAACTTGGGGAACACTGTGAGTTGTGGGTGTCAGGGTATGGCGACTATAACTTGGGGAACACTGTGAGTTGTGGGTGTCAAAGTGTGGCGACTATAACTTGGGGAACACTGTGAGTTGTGGGTGTCAGGGTGTGGCGACTATAATTTAAGGAACACTGTGACTTGTGGAGGTCAGGGTGTGGCGACTATAATTTGGGGAACACTGTGACTTGTGGGGGTCTGGGTGTGGCGACTATAACTTGGGGAACACTGTGACTTTTGTTGGTCAGGGTGTGGCGACTGTAAGTTGGGGAACACTATGACTTGTTGGGGTCAGGGTATGGCGATTTCAGCTTGGGGAACAGTGTCTTGTGGGGGTCTGGGTGTGGCGACTATAATCTTTGGGAACACTGAGACTTTTGGGGGTCAGGGTGTGGCGACTGTAACTTGGGGAACACTGTGAGTTGTGGGTGTCAGGGTATGGCGACTATAACTTGGGGAACACTGTGAGTTGTGGGTGTCAGGGTATGGCGACTATAACTTGGGGAACACTGTGAGTTGTGGGTGTCAGGGTGTGGCGACTATTACTTGGGGAACACTGTGAGTTGTAGAGGTCATGGTGTGGCGACTGTAACTTGGGGAACACTGTGAGTTGTGGGTGTCAGGGTATGGCGACTTTAACTTGGGGAACACTGTGAGTTGTGGGTGTCAGGGTGTGGCGACCATAACTTGGGAAACTCTGTGAGTTGTGGGTGTCAGGGTATGGCGACTATAACTTGGGGAACACTGTGAGTTGGTGGTGCCAGGGTGTGGCGACTATAACTTGGGGAACACTGTGAGTTGTAGAGGTCATGGTGTGGCGACTATAACTTGGGGAACACTGTGAGTTGTGGGTGTCAGGGTATGGCGACTATAACTTGGGGAACACTGTGAGTTGTAGAGGTCATGGTGTGGCGACTATAACTTGGGGAACACTGTGAGTTGTCGGTGTCAGGGTATGGCGACTATAACTTTGGGAGCACTGTCAGTTGTCGGGGTCAGGGTGTGGCGATTATAACTTGGGGAGCACTGTCAGTTGTCGGCGTCAGGATGTGGCGACTATATCTTTGGGGACACTGTCAGTTGTAGGGGTCAGGGTGTGGCGACTATAACTATGGGGACACTGTTAGTTGTTGGGGTCTGTGTGTGGCGACTCCAGCTTGGGGAACACTGTGAACTTGGGGAACACAGTAAGTTGTGGGGGTCAGGGTGTGGCGACTATAATTTGGGGAACACTGTGACTTGTGGAGGTCAGGGTGTGGCGACTCCAGCTTGGGGAACACTGTGAATTGTGAGGGTCAGGGTATGGCGACTATAACCTGGGGAACACTGTGAGTTGATGGGGTCTGGGTGTGGCGACTGTAATCTTTGGGAACACTGTGATTTGTGGGGGCCTGTGTGTGGCGACTAAAATTTGGGAAACACTGTGACTTGTTGGGGTCTGCGTGTGGCGACTATAACCTTGGGGAACACTGTGACTTTTGGGGGTCTGGGTGTGGCGACTGTAAGTTGGGGAACACTGTGACTTGTGGGTGTCAGGGTGTGGCGACTCCAGCTTGGGGAACACTGTGTCTTGTGGAGGTCAGGGAGTGGCGACTATAATTTGGGGAACACTGTGACTTGTTTGGGTCAGGGTGTGGCGACTGTAAGTTGGGGAACACTTTGACTTGTGGGCGTCTGGGTGTGGCGACTATAATCTTGGGGAACACTGTGACTTGTGGGGATCTGGGTGTGGCGACTGTAATCGTGGCGAATACTGTGACTTGTGGGGATCAGGGTGTGGCGACTGTAATCGTGGCGAACACTGTGACTTGTGGGGGTCAGGGTGTTGCGACTATAACTTGGGGAGCACTGTTAGTTGTCGGGGTCAGGGTGTGGCGATTATAACTTGGGGAGCACTGTCAGTTGTCGGCGTCAGGATGTGGCGACTATATCTTTGGGGACACTGTCAGTTGTAGTGGTCAGGGTGTGGCGACTATAACTATGGGGACACTGTTAGTTGTTGGGGTCTGTGTGTGGCGACTCCAGCTTGGGGAACACTGTGAGCTTGGGGAACACAGTAATTATATAAGTTGTGGGGGTCAGGGTGTGGCGACTATAATTTGGGGAACACTGTGATTTGTGGAGGTCAGGGTGTGGCGACTCCAGCTTGGGGAACACTGTGAATTGTGAGGGTCAGGGTATGGCGACTATAACCTGTGGAACACTGTGAGTTGATGGGGTCTGGGTGTGGCGACTATAATCTTTGGAACTCTGTGACTTGTGGGGGTCTGGGTGTGGCGACTATAACTTGGGAAACACTGTGAGTTGTGGGTGTCAGGGTATGGCGACTATAACTTGGGGAACACTGTGAGTTGTAGAGGTCATGGTGTGGCGACTATAACTTGGGGAACACTGTGAGTTGTGGGTGTCAGGGTATGGCGACTATAACTTGGGGAGCACTGTCAGTTGTCGGGGTCAGGGTGTGGCGATTATAACTTGGGGAGCACTGTCAGTTGTCGGCGTCAGGATGTGGCGACTATATCTTTGGGGACACTGTCAGTTGTAGGGGTCAGGGTGTGGCGACTATAACTATGGGGACACTGTTTGTTGTTGGGGTCTGTGTGTGGCGACTCCAGCTTGGGGAACACTGTGAGCTTGGGGAACACAGTAAGTTGTGGGGGTCAGGGTGTGGGGACTATAATTTGGGGAACACTGTG